CATCATAATGTCTGACTTCAAATTATCGTCCAAGGCTGTAGCAGCTAAAACAGCGTGCTACTAGTATAAAGGGAGACACATAGACCAATGCAACAGAATAGAAGAGAAAAAAAGCCACATAGCTACAGCCAGCCAGGCAGACAAACACATAAGCTGGAGAAAGATATAAATGGTGCTAGTAGATGAATGAACTGGATCCCTAACTCTCATCACATACAAAAAATAACTAGAGATGGATTAAAGACTTAAATGTAAGGCCTGAAACCATAAAAATTCTGGAAGAAAACATAGGAAAAATCTCTTCTGGACACTGGCCTAAGCAAAGTACATACAAGTAAGACCCCCCCGACCCCCGCCAAACTGAATGTAGCAACAAGAAAAATAAGTAAACAGTACTTAATTAAACTTAAAAATTTCTGTATAGCAATGGAAATAATTAACAGAGTGTACAGACAACCCATGTAATGGGAGAAAATAGTGACAAAATGTACATGTGAAAAAGGACTGATATCCAGAATCTACAAAGAACTCATACAAATCAGCAAGAAAAAAAAAAAAACATCCAAAAAAACGGCAAAAAACACAAAAAAAGATTTTTTTTTCAAAAGGAGATAGACAGATGGCCAAGAAATGTGAATATGCTCAGCATCACCAATGATCAGGGAAGTTCAAGTTAAAACTTCAATGAGATGCCATCTTACCCCTGTCAGAATGGCCATTAATAAAAAGTCAAAAAACAATAGATGCTGGCCTAGAGGTGGTAAAAAGGGAATGCTTATACAGTATTGGTGGAAATTTAAATTAGTACAATCACTATGGAAAACAGGATGGAGATTTCACAAAGAACTCAAGTAGATATACTGTTTAATCCAGCAATCCTACTTCTGGGTATCTACCTAAAGGAAAAGAAATTATTTTACAAAAAAGACACTTGCAGCTGAAGGCTTATTGCAGCACAATCCGCAATTGCAAAGATGTGGAATCACCCTAAGTGCCCATGAAGTGAGAAGTGGATAAAGAAAATGTAATATATTTATACACCATGGAGTACTACTCAGCCATAAAAAGGATAGAAATAATCTCTTTTGCAGCAACTTGGATGAAACTAGAGACTGATATTTTAAGTGAAGTATCATCCCAGGAATGAAAAAAACAAATACCACTTATAAGTGGGAGCTAAATGAGGGGTATGGGTAGTCATAAAATAGTATAGTGGATATTCACAACTAAGAAGGGGAGAGGGTGGATGGGGAGTGAGGAATAAAAGTCAACTTTTTATGTACAATATACACTGTTCTGGTGATAGGTATGTTAAAAGCCCTTGAGCATTATAAAATTCATCTATGTAACAAAAAACACTTGTAACCCTTAAATCTATTGCCATTAAAAAAAAAGAAAAGAAAAAAATGTGCAGTCATCTCTCAGTTTACGTAATAGCTGTGTACCTAGAAAATTCATCCTGTATGGACACTGTGCAAGCTACTCTGTGCTTATATGTAAATGAGGTTAGCGTCTAGGCTTAGCTCATTAGAAACAAATTTTCAACACCTAGCTAAATGTCCTCCATGGCCTTCAGAAGCTTACAAGACATGGAGACAGTATTTGCTATCCAGAACTGTCCTGAGCCCCCTAAAGATAGGGCCTTGTAATGCCTGCCCCGGCCCAATCATTGTGTCATTCAACAATGGCCATGAATTTCCCAAAATGCCCTCTGTTGGGTGATGTACTCCCTGCACTGAAAACCAACCATGTTAACTCCTAATGTTAAATTTAGCCCAAACAGTAATGATGATTTATCCTTCTGACTTTCTGTAGTCCTTGAAAACTAAAGGAATGTCTACAGTGAAATTGTCAATCTTTGGGTTAGTTAGGAGACGAGCTCCACGAGAGTAAGGGCCAAGTCTGTCTAGTGTGCTTGGGCAGTAGCTAAGTTCTCAACACAAGATCTGGGTCCTACTGGCTCTTCCCTTAATAAGTAAATAACTTTGCGTTTCACTATCTGGGTTCATAAAAATATATACACTGTTTAAAAGAAATAGTTTTGTTATTTTCTGGTTCATGGGACAATAGGTAGATATCCACTAGGAGTCTTATAGTTAGGAATCATTTGCCAATTCCATTTCATTCGTTTCATGTTTGAATATGTGACATTAAAATGTCTGAAAACATTTGGAACCTATCAAAGACTCAGAGTCCTTAAACATTTTGAGTAAGGAAACATGTTGAAAACTTTGTATGAGCTGTGATGCTTGCCCTGAGAAGTTTGCTTAATTTTTCACAACGATCCATTAGGTAGATACCATTTATTAACCCTGCGTTTACGAATGAGGGAATTAGACTCAGCAAAGCAAATCATCTGCTCAAAGTCAGACAGTTGGTTCAATACTGGAATAGGGTTTGAGTCCAGAGCTATCTGAAGAAATTCTGCTGCTGCTCTTTCTTAAGGGAGGCCAAGCTACATTTCCATCAATCTACATCTGAAGGACCATGAATTATGAACGTGTGAGGTCCACTTAAGTATAATTTTACCCTACATAGATTTCTGATTGTCACGTTTACCCAAGTCCATTTTTATAGCACTTCAGTGGTTTTTACGTTGATCCTGCGCTTGGTCAGGTTCTAGGATTCAAGGCCATGTGTGAACTCACATTCCTGAGTTTCTTGGGGACAGGGGGGACATGTCTTCTCATTGCTGGGTCTGTACAACCTAGCATGGTGTCTGACACAAAGGGTGTGTTCAGCAGGTGTTTGTTGAGTTGACTTTAACTGAATGGCATTTCTTCTTTTAGGCCTTGGCCTTACACGATATTTCAGCGAGGCTTTGACCTGGTTTTGGGAGAGCAGCCCTCTGATAAAATATTCAGGTAAGTGGTCATCTATGGTCTTGCTTGCACATGTCTGCAAGCTCTGCATCTTACTTCCCACTGAACTGACTTCCCTAGCGGTGAGGCACAAAATAGCAAAGACTCTTAGTTGTTCTGCCTGCCTAGTAGCAAAAACGCTTGTCCCTAAATCATGCCCAGTGACAACATGGAGGACTCTGAAGATAAACAGATTCTCTGCGGGTCCTGGCTTCCTTCCTTGCTAGCTCTGTGAGCCTCAGCAATTAACTAACCTCTTAGAGCCTCCAGTTTCTGCACATGTTAGATGGGGGGACATTACACTCCTGGCTGGGTTGTTGTAAGGGATAATGCAGGGAGAGTCCCTGGCACAGAAACTGGCACAGAGCAGGCAGTTAACATGTCAGCTCCTGCCTCTCCATTTTGAAACTAATTTGCACCTTCTCATAGCATCTTAAGTTGTTCAAAATCAATCTCTCCTGCTCTAGCCTTCTTCTCAAAACTTTACCTCTTTTTTAATTATTATTATTATTATCATTATTATTTTCTGTCCTACCTTCCTGATAAAATTAGATGCTTCTAGTTACTCCCAGATTTCTATTTAAATACCTGGTAATAGCATGCGTTTGAAAGGCCCACGAGCAGAGGAAGAATTTGAGAGCCAGCCACGAGTTACTGGACATTCACGAAGCAGAATTCATACTACATTTTCTAGGGACACAATTTATTTCTTATCATTCATTCATTTTGTCAATCTGTCCTTCACCTAACATATCTTTGCTGAGTGCCTACTAAGTGCCAGAGGTGGTACTTGGCCTGGCAGCATGGACAGACATCTCCCTCTGCCAGGAAGCCCTCTAGTAGAGGAAGCGCGTAGTCCTGCACCAGTGGCTGATGGCAGAGGATGAATTCAGATACTGTCGCCTTTGTTGGAGGAATGGTGAGCAGCATGAAGCAAATGGAAGACTCACTTCCTTTTCACTGCATCCGTAGGGTTTGCTGAGTCTCACGTCCGCTGAGTTCCCTGCCACTATCTCAAGCCCCCTACCAGATCCTCTTTGTCATCCTCTCCTGGCCTGTGTGTGATTTTTTGCTCCTGCATTTGCCTCCTAGTGCTCACTCTTCTGCAGAGCTTCTGTTGCTCCTCCTGGTAGCTTGGGATGGACTGAGCTTGGCCGCCGTGGTGTTCTCCTGAGGCATGCTCCTAGCTAGTGCAGATGTACAGAACCACCCCCTCAGTGGGCCTGCCCTTGCCCTTCTCTCCCCAGACTGTCCCTTCCAGGGCAAGCTGGGTCACATTAATGACACTGGCTGCAGGGAGCTTTTGAGGATTTGTGCTGTGGGAAATGCCAGCTATCTTCCTTAGACTATGACTTGGACATTAAAACTTTCCAACAATGATTTATCGTTTGGCTGACTTTTTCTCCTTTTCTTCTAGTCCTGGTCCTCCAGGACCTTCAGAGGATGATAAAGACAAGACAGGTGGGAAGCCTGGTGGAATCTGGCTGATTCATGTGGATAATTGTCCTGTTCCATAAAATTCGGAAACTAATACTTTGAAAAACAAGGGCCTTCATGAAATGACTATTAAAGTAGAACCTGAATAAAAACTGTGTTTTCAACCCCACAAAATGCCATTTCCCCCCACAATTATTGGCTGCTAACTACATGTGATACTGAAGTACTATAGCAGGGACCAGTTGTGGGGTTTGAGCCATGAGGTCAACTCTCTCAGGAGCCAGGGTTAGTCAGTAAGTCATTACAATTCTGGTCCCTAACATGACAACAAATGGGTCTCTCAAATGAAAGCAATGGGTGGTGGTCTGCTTATTTCAGGTACTAGGAACTTTAATTGAACCACTCTATAATATGAGTGAACCACCTACCAATGGCCACTCTGGAAAACTTTATGACCTGTTCAGTGATTATAATTAGCTATTTACTTGTTCCTCTGTTTGCTCATGTTTTAGCCATTTCACATTTTCCTGAACTATGGGGTAAAATATAAATCCTGATATTTTATAAAATATAAATCCAAATCTTTCCACTGCTGAATGCCAGCATACTCCCTTTAAATAAGCTGCTCATCTCCTATAGAACTTTCCATTCTCAATTGATTCTGTCTTCTAACTAACTGACCCATTGTCCCCAATCACTGGAATATCCTCCACATGGCACAGTTGCTCAAACCCTTTCCTCTAGCAAGAATTCACATTCTCCTCTTAATATAAATACTACTTGTTTTTGTGGTCCAGAACAAGTCTCAACTGAACCCAAAATCTACTGAACACCTATTGCAAAGCACTGTTTTA